GGCAGCATCAATGGGCTCAAGCATGGCAACAGTAGTGAGGTTGGCCCAGGATAGGGCATTGTTTTGTTCTGCTGTGCATAATGTTGCTATGAGTTGGTACCAACTCAATGGCACCTAACAACAACAAACAACAAGTTGAGTTCTGATTATCAAGCCATTGAGGCTAGGTCAAATGGGTACTATCTACAAGTTTCGATGTTCTTGTGTATCTCCCCTCACTTCATATCAGCTGGATGCTTCACTCTCAGTTCTAGCCCTTTGTGGCTATGTCCTGGTCCATCATCTCAGGTGTCCCCAGGTCTCACCACACTTTAGAACAACCAGGTCTTCCTCTTCTCTCTCGCATCTCCAGGTCAATGGGAGTCTATGGACTGTAGTTGAACTCAGCCCATTTCTTCATCACTGTCCTGCCCCCTTTTCCATTCACCAGTAGACCAGTGTGGTCACCAGCAAGCTTACATGCCTGCTCATGAGTTCCCTGTGAGTTTCAGTCTTAGAGGGGGGTTTGTCCTGAAGGTACTTGATTGCTTGCCTTGATGGCTTCCTGGTGAACAGCTTGCTTATTCTTTCAGTAGCCAGTTGTACTGCCATTTTTATTTTGGGTTTTTCATGATGATCTTTCTTTGAAGATGTATGTTCTGTCACTGTAGCTGTTCCAGGCTGGTCTGCTTGTCCTTTCTAGTGGGGATGTCCTAGCTCTGAGGGTTCTGGATGGGATTCGGGATTCCACCTAAGGTCCTATACACTGCAAAGGCTCTGCAAGAAGCCTATTTCACTGGGCAACTTCTAGAACCCCTTTTAGGTATTCCAGTCAGTTATAGGCTGAAAAGGGGCTTACAAGCTTTCTGTAATCATGTTTCCCAACATTCCTTTCTGTCCCACTCAAGTGTCTATTTTACAATAGTAGGCAAGGGAAACCAGTATTCATAAGACAGTCAACCATCTTAATCTTATTTCTCCTCTTCAAACTATGCCTAGATTCCTGTATCACAAAGCCCTGTTATTCCAAGGTTGAGTATGTATCACTATTCACCTCTGTCCCATTTAGCCCATGCAAACCTGTCTCAGTATTCCCCTATCTACCTTGTTCTTCCACCCCCTCCTCCTTCTTGTATTGCCCTCCCCAACACCCAAACTATGATGTGTCTGCCCCCTATCCTGTGCTTTACCTTCACTTCCCTCCCCCTAAACTCCCCACCTCAACCGTTGTGGTTACCTTATATTCCATTAACTTTTCCCTCCATTTAAGATAGTTTATTCTACCTGACCTTCTCACCACCTTGATCTCTGTCCCTCTGTGTTTACCTTCTTTCACATTGTAATTGTTTTGATCATAGACTAACCTCCCAGATCCTCTGAATTTGTTCTTATAGAATCTGTTCTCGATTCTTCCATTTGTCAATTGAGTTCTGGATGGTGCTGCCACGTATGTCAATCTCTGGTTGTTGTCTGTTTTTGTTGGTTCCCAGTCCACAGAACTCTCTTTATGATGTTTTTCATCAGAGGCTTGGCTTTGGCACAATCCCTTAGCTTCTGTTTATCCTGGAATATTTTGATTACACTATCTATTGACAGCTTTGCTGGGTAGAGGATTCTTGGGTGGCAGTTGTTTTTTTTCTCTATAAGAGTTTTATATATGTCTCCCCATTGCCATCTTGCCTGCATGATTTCTGCTGAGAGATCCGAGCTTAATCTGATATGCTTGCCTTTATATGTTACACTTCTTTTTTCCCTAGCTGCATTCAAGATTCTGTCCTTATCTTTGATTTTAGAGAGCTTGATTATTATGTCTTGGTGATAGTCTTTTAGGGTCTATCCTAAAGACATCCTGGGGTCATTGAGCTTCTTGAATGCGTATCTTTAAGCTTTTCAAGATGTTAGGAAATTTTTTTTCCAGCAGCTCTTCAACTATCTCCTCTGTGGACTTGTGTGGTTCTTCCTGTTCTGGAATGCTGATAATTCTTAAGTTATTCCTCCTCATGTTGTCCAACATGAATCTTAGACCTTCTTCAGACTTTTTTATCCTTTTTTCTGCTTGCTTTTTATCTTAGTAATATTGAGAGATTCATCTTCTAGCTCACTAGTTCTGGCTTCCATCTCTTCAATTCGACTCCTTTGCCCTTTCAGTGTATTGTCCATTTCTGATAGCCTATTATTAATCATTTGGACCTCTTTCTGTAGGTTTTGAATTATTTACAATGCTGTATCTATCTTGTTTAATTCGTCCTGTAGTGCTTTCCTGACTTCTTCCTTATTTTTCTCAACTCCATTGTAAAGTGTTTTGATATATTTTATAATCATTTTTCTGACTTCCTTCTCCGGTATTTTCAAAGCATGCCCCTCCTTCCAGTATGGAGTTTAGGTCTATCATCAGCTCATTTTTCTCAGTCACTTTATCTCATTTCTGGACATGTGCTGTTATGGTCATCTGTTTCTTTTTCTTGTGCATACTCAATAGTTATTTGTGGCCTTAATCCTTAGATGAGTGTGTATTTTTGGTATTTTTTATGCTTTCTGATTGCCTCTAGCTAGATGTGATCAGGAGATGGGCTTCCCTTTTTACTTTTCTTATTACTTGACTCAGAGTAACTGTTGTAGGTGTTGGTTGCCTACCTGGTATATGGCATCTGGTATTGGTTCTTGTCTGGGTTGTGGGATTTTATATGGTGTGATTGTAGCTTGACTATATGACAGCAATTGCTGTCTCTTCCTAGGTAATGTATGGAGAGAAAGAGCCACCTAAAGGTAAAGAGGGGCCAAAAAACAAATCAGCAACAGCAAAAAAAAGACAGATTGGATGCTGTGGTCTATAATCTCATAAAAGAGTGAAGAGGGGAAAAAAATCTGTATGCTAATATGAGTATGATTTTAATGCCCTCTTTCAGCTTCTTGCCTTCAAAGCCACCTGAGAAATTTCAGTATGCCACTGTTGGTTGTATGACATAACTCAGGATTTACTTTTCGGCCTGTTTCCTTTTTAGTCTGCCTGTCCCACTCCACAACCCCCGTTCAGGCCTTTTTCCTAGTGATAAACAGTTCAGGGACAGCTGTGGTTGTTATGCGCTGTCATTTGGTTTTAAGTGGCAACTGTTCCTTTAAATTTTGAGGAGATCTGTGTGCATGCATAATAGAAGATCCCGGGGGTGAGGGTGGGGAGTCAGCTCGCTCAGGTACCCCCTTTAGTCACCAGAATGGAGGTGCGCAGACAAGAGACTAATTAACACATACAGAAAAAAGAAAGAATGTCCACACCTTTATCTCTGTGGTTCTGTTGGCGTCTTTGGCTGCTCTGGTCCTTCCCCTGTTCAGTCTTGCCCAAGATGGCCACTCCGGGAGCAGCTAAGCGCCTTGGATTAGGAAGCACTGAATTTCTTGCTTCTGCTACAAATTCCACTGGCTGTAAGCCTTCCAACTTTCTAAATATTTCTTTATATGTGGTTCAGAGTTCCGAGACCATCCCTGAACCTGCTTGGTCCGGTGTTCTGTGTTGTTGCTGACGGAGATCCTCACTGCACTTCTACCCGATCCACCATCTTGTTTGTTCTCCCTCCTCAACCTGAATTTATATCCTAGGTCTGTCATTTTTCTAACTTTGCTCTTAAGTTCTCTTAACTATAAAATTGGGGAGAAGTTGATTTAAAAAAAAGTAACTATTCACAGAGGGTTTTTAAAGACTACTTGTTGCTTATGTATTGCCTGGGAAATGGGATCATGTGAGTGTGAAACTGAAAAGACAGCTGGTCAATAGTAGGAACTTGAGTCTTCCAAAATAGGAAATTGAGCTAATGTGTGGGAAGTCGCCTGATGTTGAGATACTATTGTCAGAAGCAATGGGAAATGAGTTGTTTTCTTTCTTGAATGAAAGAGAGGGTTCATACTTTTTGTATTTACTATATTATTTACTTTATTAACTTGCAGGAAAATCACTCTTAGTTCTATTGGTTCATAATGTCAAAGCATAATTCTAAAATGTTTAGAACTGATAAGAAGTATTAAAAATGTATTTTGACAGAAATAAGGCCTCTAACTAACTTGTGAACCAAATGTACTCTATTTTGAATTTTTAAATGCAACTCTGTCATACAATGCAGCTCTCATTTCTGTAAAGTTTCCACTGTGCCTTTAACCTAGAAGCAAACAGTTCTTCAGAAAATGCAATTTTGTCCACCCTACTCTGCTTGTCCAAAAAGTTTTTAGAAAATTAGCTTATAATGATAAATTGTTGATGCTAAAAAACACACACACACAAAAAAAAACCCTAACTAATAATTCAACTAGTACAGGTGTTAAGCAGATGAATTTAGTGGTCAGCCGATTCTCAGGAAATACCTGCTTTGTACCTCCTCAAAAAAATAAATGTTTTTTTAACCTCTGCGTGAGTCCTTACAAAGCCGCATACTTTTTGATAGTCTTGTTCTCGCCCTCTTCTGACCTCTGTAAATGTCAACCAATCACAAATGAAACATTTTTGTTGTAACCTTCTGTAACCTGTCTATAATTTTCTTTCTTAGTAGTGTCTTTGCCTGGCTTTGGTATCAGGATTATGATTACTTCATAGAGTGATTTTCTATGTTCTGGAACAGTTCTAGTGGAATTATTTGAATGGTGGCATAATTCAGGGAATCTGTCTGGGCCATTTTGTTGGAAATTTTTTATAACCTGTTCAATTTCATTTTTTGTTGTTAGTGTTCAGATTTTCTATACCCATCTATATTATTTCAAGTAGGTATAAAGAAATGTCCATTTCTGCTAGGTTTTCATAATTATTGGAGTATACTTCTTCATGTTGTTGTTAGATGCTATTGAGTCATTCCAACTCATAGTGACCCTATGAACAACAAAAAAATCTCTGCCCAGTCCCACACCATCCTCATAATTGTTGCATTGTTTGAGGTCATTGTCATGGACACTGTGTCAGTCCATCTTGTTGAGGTTCTTCCTCTTTTACAGGGACCCTCTACCAAGCATGATATCCACCTGTAGGGATTGGGCTGTCCAGATAACATGTCTGAAAAGAAAGTCTCACCATCTTCATTTAAAAGGCTTTACTTCTTCCAAGACAGAATCCTTCATTTTTCTAGTGATTGTGGTGGTCGTGTGCCATTGACTTGGTTCTGACTCTTAGGGATCCTGTATAGAGTTTCCAGCCTTTGATTTTAACCTTATTTTGAGCTTTGTATCTTAGTTGTGTCCCTTCTAGGCAGCTTATTGATGGGTCATGTTTCTTGTCCATTCTACCACTCTCTTGTTTCTTGACTGTTATTTTTAAGCCTTTTTTTTTTCAGGTGTGAGTATACTACTGCCATTTGGTTGTGCTCCTTTTTGTGGTGTTGATGATTTATTTGATCCATATGCTTTTATGCGCTGAGTTATTTTTGCTTGTGAATTTTCCTTCATTGCTAAGAGAATGAAATAATTAAATGACATAGTGCATATAATGCATTTAGTACCCTCCCTGGCAAGTACCCAATAATTAGTATCATTATTTAAATTTTCTATGTGGTCTGAATGTTTTATAACAATACATTACTTTTATATTCAGAAAAATAGCTCTATTTCTATTTTGGAAAAAAAAAAAAGAAAAGAAAAATACTCCCAGGAATAAAGATAAAAAACGATCTAAACTGGAAATAGATCTGCTGGTTTTGGGTCTCAAGTAAACAATAATACTGAATTTGTTTGTACTGTTATTGTTGTTAGGTACCATTAAGTCAGTTCCAACTCATAGTAGCACTTTGAACAACAGGACAAAACACTGCCCAGTCCTGCACCATCCTCACAATTGTTAATATGTTTCAGTTATGTTGTTGTATTGCTATTGCCAACATCAGTCCATCTCATTGGGGATCTTCCTCTCCAAGCATGATGTCCTTCTCCAGGAATTGGTCTCTCTTAGCAACGTGTCAAAAATACAAGAGACAGAGTCTTGTCATCGTTGCTTCTAAGGAACAATCCAGTTGTACTTCTTCTAAAACAGATGTATTTGTTCTTGTGGTAGTCCATTCTTTGTGAACACCATAATTCAAATGCATTGATTCTTCCATGGTTTTCCTTATTCATTGTCCAACTTTCACATGCTTATCAGGCAATTGAAAATACCATGGTTTGGGTCAGAGACACCTTAGTGTGCAAAGGAAAATCTTTGCTCTTTAACACTTTCAAGAGGGCTTTTGCAGAAGATTTCCCTGATGCAATATGTCATTTGATTTCTTGACTGCTGCTTCCATGAACATTGATCATGGACCCAAACAAAATTAATCTATGACAACTTCAATGTTTTCTCCATTTATCATGATGGTATTTATTGGACTGATTGTGAGGGTTTTCATTTTCTTTCCATTGAGATGTAATCCATACTGAAGGCCGTAGTTTTTGATCTTCATTGGTATTTCAAGTCCTCTTGGCTTCCAGCAAGCCAGGTGTTTCATTTATATAGTATAGCAGGTTGTTATGAGACTTCCTCCAATTCTGATGCCATGTTCTTCATTTAATCCAGCTACTCAGATGATTTGCTCAGCATTCAAATAGAATAAATAAGATGAAAGGATATAAACACCCACTGCCTTGGTTATCTTCTGAGGCCTGGTCTGTCATTACTTGACACCAGCTGTCTCCACATTGCTGTGTGTTACAATTAGGAATTTGGAGGCATTGGAAGCTGTACCTCCAACTGGAGACTGGTTTGGTTATATTCAGCTTTGTGTATCTGTCTCTACACAAATACATTTTTATATTTCATCAGTCATTTGTCTCAAAGCCTGTTATGAAAAGGAAACATTCAATTTTAATAAACATTTATATTTACAGAAAAATCTAATTTTTCAAAAGCATGTGTTTGTTACAGATTTTACATCCTGAAGTTCAAACTCTAGATCTACAAAGCTGCGATATTTCAGATACTGCTCTCTTACAACTATGTAACTGCAGAAAACTGAAGAAATTAAATTTAAATTCTTCAAAAGAAGACAGAATTTCTATAACTTCAGAAGGTATGTGTTTTTGTCTGGGTTTTCTAGCAAAGCAAAAACATATATATGCATCTACAAAGTGAGAGTTACTTCAAGGAAACAATTCATGCAATTGTGGGAGCTCTGGTAGCCTAGTGGTTACAAATCGGGCACTAACCTCAGGGTCAGCAGTTCAAAACTACCAGCAATTCATCAGGAGAAAGATGAGGCTTTCTGCTCTCGTAAATATTTACTTCCTCGGAAACCCTGTACAGGGTCGCTATGGGTCGGAACCGACTCCAGGTGCTTACCAACAACAACAATCAAGTCCCAAGTCCATGAGTCAGGCAACAGGCTGCAGGCTTCTGCTAGTTCACAGGGTTGCAGGGATTGGACAATTACAAATTTGCAAGTCAGGCAGCAGACCAGAGACTTCTGCAGGTGTACATTCCAAGAACCAGAGGCTAGACAACTAGAAAAATGCAGGGTGGACAGAGAAAGAGAACTTTGCCAGAACATCCACTTATATCCTAGAGGCAGGCTATACCCTCAGGGAAACTCTTCTTTTAACTGATTGGTTAATCACTTCAGATCGTATCATGGAAAGTGATTACGTTATGTTATGTTATGTTATGTTATATCATGTCATGTTACATTATAGAAGGACCCAGTCCAGTGTCAAACTACTAAAAATCATAGCTTAGCCAAATTGGCCCATAACATTAACCTCATAGTATGTATGCTGAAGAAAGTGACAGATTATTATTCACCAATCCAGTATAATTTTGGAGCAAAGAAGGGGAAAATATGTCAAAAGAAATATGAAATGTGAAAGAAATAGAAATTATATTTATCAATACAAATACTTAGACTAAGATGTTGTTGTTGTTAAGTACCATCAAGGCAGTTCCTACTCATAGCGACCCTGCATAGTATTTCTAATGAGTGGCTGGTGAGCTTGAACCACCAACCTTTCAGTTCAAATCAACCTTGCACATTAACCTTCGGTGCCACATCAGGACTCCTAGACTATGATAAAACATCCGAATTAGGATTCTTGCATAATTTTTTTTATCACCAGTGTTGATCAAATTTAAGAAATAAATTGGGCAAATCACTACATTTTATTTTAAACATATTTAAAATATAGAGGTATCCATCCTTGTTTATTTTTCTTAGCATTGTTGTTGTTAAATGCCATTGAGTCAGTTCCAACCCATAGGGACCCTGTATAGGGTTTCTGAGGAGTGGCTGATAAGCTTGAACTGCCAATCTTGTGGTTCAAATCCACTTTGCAGTCCAGCATATTAACCCACAGCGCCACACCAGGACTCCATAGTGGAACAAAAAAATGACCAGTACCTACTTTCAATCAAGGCTTTTTTGATGCAGATTGAACTTACTAGGCACTCTACTAGTAAACAAAATTTTTTATTGTCACTATTAAATGGTATAGTAAATGTTTACCAATTTTTTTAAAAAAACATAAACTGTTGTCCCTCTAGCTAACTTACTGGGTTTCTGAAAATTTGGGTGGGTAGTTGTATTTTACAGTTATCTTGGTTAGCAAGTTTTTGTTGTTGTTGTTAAGTGCCATCATGTCAGTTCCAACCCTTAGCAACCCTATATAGGGTTTCAGAGGAGCTTAAACTGCCGACCTTGCAGCTCAAATGGCTTTGTGGTCTGGCACATTAACCCACAATACCACACCAGGACTCAGGTTAGCAAATTAGGATATTCATAATATTGCAAAGAGGAGTAATTTTTTTAAATGTTTAGATAAGAAATGACTCACTAAAAAGAACTTCCAGGCTTGACTCTGGTGAATAAAATAGCAGTTCTTCCTTAAATTCTGTATTTAAGATAAAGAAAACAATAAAATAACCTACTTCCCCCTTTAGTGTATTTTACCATAAAGATATCTTTTAACAATACTGCAATGTTAGTTCATGAATAAAGGGCCCAGAAATCCTAAAGTACCCTTTTATTTATGGAACACATTGTGATGTTCCAGTCTCCCGTGTGCATTTATATCAGTTTAATTAGATTCAAGGAATTTTCTTTTCTTGACCCTCAGTAAAAATGTAAGATTGGTCCAGGTCAGCAGAGGAGTGTGGTGATAGAAATGAAATCCAAGGACAGAGTCACATAGGAAAAGGAGGATACAGAGGTATAGGTATAATTCCTAAGGATAAGCATAAAGACCATTGCTTAAAACATGCAATTTTACTTTTATTTCCCTTTAGAGTAACATAGAAATTTACTTTATTACTTTAAAACTTTTGTTTAACCAACAGGGAGTCATCCTCTATTTATCTAATTTGATTCCTATTTCTCAAAAGTGAATCTAACCCTAAATAGATTTTCCATAAAGAATATACCACAGGTTGTATAGAGAATTCATGAAACATCCCAGAAGTGCTTTGAATAATGACAGCATCAAGGGAAAATCAGTCCATCCTCACAGATGGGCTACTTTGAAAAGGCTATTATATATATATACAATTGGATAAATTAGTACTGGTGATCTCTAAAACGGTAAACAGTGACATTTTTTTCATATATATACATACATATCTCATCAATATGCAATTATGTTTTCCTCCAGGAATAAAAGCTGTGGCTTCATCTTGTTTATATCTACATGAAGCTTTTCTGAAAAGATGCTGCAATATCACTGATGAAGGAGTCCTTGCTCTTGCACTCAATTGTCGGATGCTGAAGATCATTGATTTGGGTGGCTGCTTAAGTATTACTGATGTATCCTTACATGCATTAGGAGAAAACTGCCTATATTTGCAGTGTGTTGACTTTTCAGCTACTCAGGTAAATATAAATATAGACTTGAAACATGTAGACTGTGTGTGTTTGCTCAATGTATTTCCATGACATAATTTATTGTTTGCAGGGAGTTCCTGCTCTCCGCAGGGGTGG